AACCTAAAATAGGTTCATGTGAGTCACTGGGGAAAGACCTACTTCCCAAATACCAGTAACAAAATCCATTTCTGTTACCATCTTCCCCACCAGACTGTGAGCTACTTGCTGAAATCTTTCTATCGTGTCCATGTCTAGAATGTGTTGAAATGTAGAATCCAGGCTTAGAGACAATAAAAAAGGTGAGTGGCCAAGAGCTTGAGACTTCATCCTCAGGAAGGTCTCCCCACTCCTAAAAGATCAAGCAGGCAGGGCAGGGTTTAAGGTGTGGGGAGAAGTGAGAATGCACCAAGAGGAAGAGGGAGAATTTAAAACTGCACAGGTTTCTCAGCCTGATCCCCTGTGCAAAGGGATCAGATCTACAAATTCCCAGGACAGGCACCCTCTCTAGCTGAAGGAATCTTCAGGCCCCAAGCAAAAACTGCACTGAGGCAGGCCAAACAGAGCTCCCCATCCCGTCTCTCTAATCCACTCCAGCCAGGGCGGAAACCCACTTTGTAGCTTCCCAAACAACTTCCCACATGTCTCGATGTCCTCATTGTCTCTATTAAATTCTTCACTGGTCAACTCAAATGCCACCTACTTCCAGAGGCCTTCTCTGACCCCAAACCAGCAGTGACCTTCCTTCTCCAACCCCAGGGGCTGAGAGCATACACAAATTCCTGATTCATGTCAGGACAAACGAACTCTGAGCCTCAGCTTACCCGTCTCTAGAATGGATTCACAAAGCCCGCTCACACAAGCACAGAAAAAGCACAGGAAGCTGGGAAGACAGTTTCCCAGAGACCTAGGCTGAGGATCCCGAAGGCTATAAAGGTTTAAGGGTGGGATAAGATGAAAGGGGTGGGAGCAAGCGGGACAGGCAGCTGCCTGCACACCCCAATGCGGAGACTGTAGAGAAAGCTGGGGCTTTAACAGGGGTAGGAGCCTGGCCGGACGTCCCCTCTGTAATCTGTCCCCTCCCGGCCTCCGTACTATATGCACCCCGCAGTCCCGCTCCCGCTCTTCTGCAGGTTTTCTTCTGGGCCCCACGCCTCAGCCTCTCAACCCTCATTCCCGAGCCTCGCCCGCCGCGGCCGCACCTGGTCCGAGTCCTCGTTCTCGCTGCTGTAGCAGCACCCCATGGCCGGGGTCGGGCCGGGCACTCAGGCGGCGCCGAGGAGGGACGGCGTCCGTCGGGAGCCCTTCCGGTCACATGACCCGTGGCTGCTTCCAGCAAGCAGCCACCCGCCTCCCGGCCTATCCCTTCCCAGAGCCGCGCAGCTGCCGCCGCAACCCCAGCTTCCGGCCCCGCCTCTACCGCGTGATCATCGCCAACCAATGGGAAGGCTCACCTCGCTTGACAAAACGCGAGACACGTGATGCGATGAAAAGGCGGGGCAGATCACATGACTTAAGTCGCTGCCCGGTCTTGGAATTTGAGTCTTCTTTCACCGGGTCTAGAGGTCTTCGTACTTTGTGGTCGCGTGGTGCCAGGCCACCTTTCTGGGCCAGTGAGTGAACTTATCCCAAATGCCATCATGATTTGCTCTCCTAAATGCCATGCGAGGGGCGAGTGGGATTGAGGCCCTACCCTCCTAGAGCACACAAGTCTCTGTGTACAAGCGTTGGACCCAGATGCCCAGCCCCCAGTCGGGGGACACATAGTGTGGCGCCCAACGGAGTTCTCAGCCTGGACTGGGGATCGGAGACTTACTGGAAGAAAAGCCCTTATTCATACACAAACCAAAGCGGAGCAGAGCTTAATCCTGGAAGAGATAGAAACCCCCTCACATGCTTTGCCCTCAGGCATTTCTCTTCAATCTTGCTGGCCTTTTTACAGCAACCATAGTAATCTAACACACAATGCTCTTTTCTTAGAACCACCCCATATCTTCCCTTGGACGCTGAACACAGGTCCAGGTCTGTCATTCAAGATCTTGCAGAGCCTCTCACCTGCCTCCCATTCCAGCATTTGGGTCGTGGGGGCTGGTAGTGATGGTGGTGGCGGTGCAGGGATTGGACTGATGCCTCACCAGCCCTAAGAAAATATTTGCAGTTTCCCGACTGACCTCCTGGACTTTCCTCATGTGGCCTGGCACACCGTCTCCCCACCAGGTCTGCCTTCTGCCTTCAAGCCTCACTACAAACAGTATTCTCCTGATTGCCATCTTAGATCCCATTGTTTGGGCATGTCCAGCTCCCTGTGCTTAATCCCTATCCCGTGTTGATTCCTTCATTTATCGAATCAAAAATTACTGAGTGTCTGATGTGCCATACACTGTTCTGTCTAGATACATAGCAGTTCACAAAACAGCCCAAAGTCCCTGTATCCATGGAGCACTGCATTATGTTTTATTCTCCGTTTCTGGATCAGTCTCTTCCTCCAAACTTGGAGTTCCTGGAGGAAGGGGACAAGATCTGATTCCCCCCTGCGACCCACACCCTGGCATTTACTTAGACAAAATGTCAGTTGAATTCTGAATTGAATAAATTACAGCCTCCCATCACCTTGGCTCACACCATGTCCCATGTCCTGATACAAGGAGTTAGAGGAGAGGTCACCAAACCCAGTAGCTCTTATTACCCCTCAGATCAAGACCCTGGAGTTCTGTACATTTTTTCAGTGCTCGAGAAGGGTAAGAGTTAGCCCCACCTTGTTGCTGCAGCTAGTAACTTGAACTGCAGGTCTCAGGTGACAGCAGCAGCTTCTGCATCAATAATTGAGAGCAGGTCCAGCCTGCCTCAGGGTTCTCTGGCCCCAAGGACTCCCCCTCTGATCTTCCCCAAGCAGGAGCCTCCAGCCCAGGTAAGCAGGGCTCTTGAGTGTGGGTTCCCAAGCACACCAGTTCAAACTCACTATCACTCACCTACTCACATCCATTTATATACTCTTACTTTCAATTTTAGTCCCCATCACCAGGGGCCTCACGAGGGGCAGATCTGGAGGAAAGGGAGGATGGTCCAGGGCACTTGAGAGGAGAAGGCACTTGTCCCCCATAGGGGGCCTGGAAGAAGAGGCCCGAGTGGGGGGACTGTGTGCTGTGTCTGTACATGCTTGTAAAAGGAATTCTGAGAGAGAACAGAAAAGGCGAATGCAGGGGAGGGGAGACAGGTTCTGGAGAGGAGATAGAGAATCAAGGATTCCTCCCACACTCAGGGAAGACCAGATGGAGGGATGGGAAGAAATCTCATCCTAACACCCTATGGAGTGTTTTGATTGCCTTTTACTGAGGCAGCACACAGGGCCTGAAGGGGTTTCTGACTACAAAGCTGTGCTCTTTTGCTCCACATTAATGGGTCAGAGAAGAGAAGGCAGAGGGTAGGGAGGGTGGAGGATATCTCAGAGGAGGTCTGCAGAAAGCAGTCCAGAAGGGGTGACTACAGAGATGAGGAGAAACAGGTGGAAGAAGCAAGGTGAAGATAGGATCAAGGGGCAGAAGTGGGAAGAGGTGGTTTGGGGGTGGGTGCAGAACACAGACTAGCATGAAGTCCTTGAAAGTACATGGGCTTGAAATCGGACCAATTCAGATTCAAATCCCAGTTCTGCTGTGTGACTCTGGACAAAAGACAGCTTTTTTGAGCTATGGTTTGTAAAATATAGGGATAATACAAATGACAAGCAATGGTGGGTGTGGGTTTCCCTCCCTGCCTCCCTTCACCCCAGAGCCCTGGTAGGGACCATGTCCCCCGCCATCGCACTGGCCTTCCTGCCCCTGGTGGTGACACTGCTGGTGCGATACCGGCACTACTTCCGACTGCTGGTGCGTATGGTCTTGCTGCGGAGCCTCCGAGACTGCCTTTCAGGGCTGCGGACTGAGGAGCGGGCCTTCAGCTATGTGCTCACCCATGCCCTGCCTGGGGACCCCAGTCACATCATCACCACCCTGGACCACTGGAGCAGCCACTGCGAGTACCTGGGCCACATGGGGCCTGTCAAAGGTCAGTGTTCCTTAGCCTTCTGCTCCAGGAAGCACCCCTAAGATGGTAAGGGAGGTCTGGGATCTGCCGCTGCCTACTGGGTGCATTGGGCAGGTTCCTGATCCTATCTGGGTCTTTCTCTCCTCTGCAAATGAGGGGGCTAGGCAAAGTTACTCATCTAGCAAACACTTATTGCCACCCTTCTGTGCTAGGCCTATACTAGGTGCTGGGTGGGAAAAGGAGACAGAGGCCACACAGATGAATCAGCCACAAATGCTGGCATCAAAGGGGACATAATACAAAAGGGACAACCATCTCAGCACATCACCCATAACTTTCTAATTACCTGTGCTAAGTATTTCTCCCCCACACCGTGGAGGCTCCCACATCCCATTCAGGGTAACTGCCTGGCTTTGTCTGAGTCCCGGCTCCTGGCACAAGTGCTTTTAGAGTCTGAAGAAATTTTTTAAATTCCAAGGTTAGAAAGATATTCAATGAATAAAACAAGGGGGAATGAAACTGGAAGTTCTAGCAAAGGTCTCTCAGAAGCCTGGTGGTTGTTTCTGCTTGAGCCCTCCTGGAGAAAGCAACACTTAACACAGAGAAGAATTGCTTCCAGCTTGGCCAAGCAGATAGACAGGGGTGGGGAGGGGCAAAGCCAGTCACATATGCTAATGCAGCATGATGGAATGAGCCAGCATCGACTTGGTTGACTCTGGGCACAGTGCTTGGGAGGGCTGTGATACAGGCTACAGATGGGAAGAACTGGAAAGTTTGGATAGGATCGGGTCCAAGAAGGTCCCGAATGTCAGGCTGAGGATCTCAAGTTCAATCTCAAAGGCCTTGAGGATCATAGGAACCAAGGAACAACAGGGTCAGATTTGTTTGTTGGAAAGATGCCTAATGGCTGGTATGAAGAGGAGCATGAAGGAGGCAAGCCTGGAGGGGCAGGGGACCAGTGGGGGCAGCTGGAACTGTAGTCTGAGAAGACCCCAGCTGGTTGGGGGTTGCAGTGAGGCAGGTGGGCATTTGAGATCCCTTTCTATCAGGGGCCCTGCATCTGTCTCCCATGTCTGCTGCAACAGCCGTCTTCCCCCCAGGTCAGATCCTGATGCGGCTGGTGGAGGAGAAGGCCCCTGCTTCCGTGCTAGAGCTGGGCACCCACTGCGGGTACTCCACATTGCTTATTGCCCATGCCCTGCCCCCCGGGGGCCGCCTTCTCACCGTGGAGTGGGACCCACGCATGGCAGCAGTGGCTGAAAAACTCATCCGCCTGGCTGGCTTTGACGAGCGCACGGTCAGCCCCCACCTCCCCAACCCTTGTCTCTTCCCTTCCACCCCCAGCCTTGCCCTAGCCAGGCCTCCCCAGTGATGGAATCCCACCTAGGAGAAGACAGCAGCTCCTCATAGGGGACTGTGGCCCTCGGTGATGTATGAACTCCTGCCTTTCTGTTCCAAGTCATTTGCTCATATTTGCTGCTGGATGACAAAGGAGCAGTTAAGAGGAAGGTCTCTGGAGCCCAGCAAATCTGGGTCCAAACCTTGTCTATGTCTTGTGAGCTTTATGACCTTGGGCAAAGCACTTATTCTCTGAATCTCAGCTTCATCACTGGCAGAATGGAAATCTGCCTCTTGGGTTTTTCTGAGGACAGAGGAAATGTGAGAACACTCATGGGGACCTAGGCCGGGACCTGGCATAAAGTAAGCCAGATCCTGCGGGAGTCTAGTGTGGGAGACAGTCCCTCCCACCCTCACCTCCAGCTCCTCCCACTCCCACAGGTGGAGCTCATCGTGAGTAGCTCAGAGGAGGTGATCCCACGCCTACGAACCCAGTACCAGCTGAGTCGGGCAGACATGGTGCTCCTGGCACACCGGCCCCGATGTTACCTGCGAGACCTGCAGCTGCTGGAGGCCCACGCCCTGCTGCCAGCTGGTGCCACTGTGTTGGCTGACCATGTGCTCTTCCCTGGTGCACCTCGCTTCCTGCAGTATGCCAAGAACTGTGGCCGCTACCGCTGCCGCCTCCACCACACTGGCCTCCCAGACTTCCCTGCCATCAAGGACGGCATAGCCCAACTCACCTATGCAGGGCCTGGCTGAGGTCCAGGCCCAGGGGTACTTACTGCTACCCCTCCACCCCCACCCAAGCAAGGACCTCAGAACATCCCCTCCCCCACTGCTTGTGGCCTGACACATGCTGAGCTCCGGGGGGCAGTGTGTGGGGGGGAAGGCTGTCCTCCCACCTTTGCCCTACTCCTGTTCCACACTGATTCAGGCATCAAGTTCTGTCAGATTGCTTGGTCCCACTGGCCCCTCTCCTTCCAGAGACAGTCATGGATTAACAGGCAAGAGTCCTGAGCTCCCAACCCAACTCTATCACTGATTTTCTGGGTGACTCCAAAGGAGTCCCTGTGCTGCTCTGAGATTTAATCTGCTTTCTTAACACCAAGGAAGCTGGCTGGAAGAGCTCCAGGGGCGTCCCAGCTCCGGGCCACAGAAAGCCTGCCCTCCCCAGCCCATGCAGTTCCAGGTGGGATCAGAGGAAACAAGAGAGGCTCTGAAGGAATATATGAATATAAGCTGGGCCAGAGATGAAGCCTGGGCCCAGAGCCAGGGACACTCTGGCCTTCCTTAGCCCTGGACCGCATGGTCAGGTAGGTTTGCCCTAAGTCCCCTGTGTGCCCTCTCCCTAAAGCTCAAGAGAAGATGCTGGATTCCTCTGGGCCCCACCAACAAATAGGGAATAGAAACGGGGGGGAAAAAAATCAGTCCTGTGTCTTTATTAAAGGGAGTTAGAGACTATACCTGGCAACCAAAGGGCGAAGTACTAGGCAGAAAGGTGGGTTGGGCTCAGGCCCTGGGGACTCAAGGGCAAACTGATGGCCTGGGAGGGGCCAAGGAGACCAGTTCCTGGCAGCAGCTGAAGAAATACCCAAAGGTGAGCTTTCAGGCACTGGGGCAAACAGCTGGTTCTGCAGGGGATGCAGGGTAAGTTCGGCTGGCCTGGAATTTCCCTGAGGCCACCCTGCCTTGTCTACCTAGATCATCCACTGGTCCTGATCCTGTTCGTTGCCTTCCATGTCCACCTGGAGAGAAGGCTGGGTGTGGGTGGGAAGGGGCCTCAGCCACCCAGCCAGCCCCAGTCCCAGATCCTGCCCGTCTGGAACCAGAGTCTCTGTAACCCTTGGCCACCAGTTAGGTCAGGGGTAGGGGCCCTCCCCCACACCCCTGCCTACCTCATTGACCTCTCCATCATCAGGTGACTCATTGTAGTCATTCATCTCATCCATGTCCTGCATGTCCTCATCATCCTCTGAGTCCTCTTCACTATCTTCATCGTCATCTTCATCCTCCTCTTCCTCATCATCATAGTGCTGGTGAGGCAGAGAAGAGCCTATAGGCTCTATAGGGCTGCCTGGACCAGTTCAAGGGCTGGTCCACTTGGAGCCAGTCTCTGGGAACAATGAATGACCCTCCATTCCCCAACCTTGCCCCACCCCTTTGAGTCTAGGAAGCTGATGCATGTTCTGTAGGACTTTAGTGCTGGGTCCAATGGCCACCCACTCTACATCCCCTTTACAGCCTCCACCCAGAGCTGAAGACCACAACTGCTCTGGGATCAGAGGCAGGACTTTCAGAAGTAGAGCAGAGCCTTGGTCCGCCTGGGCCCCACACAAGCCCTACCTGCTGGAACCACTCACCTCTGAGGCCGGCTTGCCAATAGGTACCAGGTTGTTGTCTTTCTCTGCGATGCTCTGGAGCTATGGCCAAAGTGGGAGGAGAGCATGGTCAGGGCACAAGCAGGACAGGTCAGGGACATGGGACCGGCCCATTCTGCCCCTAAGATGACCCCTTAAATGTGGAGAAGCTTCCTTCCAGTTTCCCGAAAGAGACAATCCCTTTATCTCTTGTCATCTGCCACTTACTTATAAACTTGATCCAACTACATAAACTCTCTGGGCCATGGTTTCCTCATAAGATTATTGTGAGGGTGAAGTGAGAGACTATCAATCTAGAATATCACATCTACTAGGTCCTCAATAAAGTCAAAACTATTTCCTATGCTTTAGGGAAAGGAGCCTAGGCTCCAGTCTGGCCCAGAAGTCCCATGGGCCCACAGTAAATCAGGGTCATACAAAGATGTGAACCTAGGCCTCCTGGCCCCCAGGTTGATTGTTCCCAACCCAGAGCAAAAAGCTCCTCCCTGACTGAGGCTCCACCACTATGCCAGGTCCTTACTCACCCAGGCCTGATGCTGTTGTTCTTGCTGCTGCAGCTCTGTCTCCTCCACACAGGGTCGATCCAGATTAAACCACAGTGTCTCAGTCACACGGGGGAAGAGTGAGGGAAACAAAGTGGACATGGCTCCTAGACTGAGGTAAAGGGCCAGGTGAATCCCGCTGTCAGACGTCTTTGGTTTGGGGTTTTATTTGGTTACAGTTTAATTTAGGGATGATGTGGAGTAGAAGGTAGCAGGGAAATCGCTCTTCTCTGTGGGAATCAGACAGACCTGGGTTTGAGTCCTGGCTCCACCACTTACTAGCTGTTTGACCTCGGCCAAGTCACTTAACCTCTCTGAGCCTCAGTTTCCTCATCTGTAAAATGGGGAATAATAACAATTATACTACACCCTCATAGTTATTCTGATAATTAATTTACTTTATGGAGAAGTAAAGTGGTTTAAACTGTTCAAGGCAGGGAAGAGAATGGAAGCCAAATGTAGAGCTATGAATCCAGAATGCAGACTGGCATTACAAAATTAGACGAAATTAGAGGTAGCAGGGCTCCACTGACACTATCTTTACCTCCTCCCAACAGTTAAGACCTACTTTTTGCCCCTCTATGATCTGTACCATACTTACCCAGTGTCAGAAATGTAGGACACTAATCACCTCTCTCATGAACCACAGCTGAACTGGGGTGGGGGTGGGGTACCACGTGCAGTATGGTTCAGAAAGACATTCTAAAGGCCTGAGTAAATGGATAAGTAATTGGAAGGCTGAATGAACTATCATGTGGGAGAATTTTCGGCACGGATTAAGCAGCTGAGGGGGCTGACCAGAAAGGTCCTGGGGAATCTGAATTAAAACCTTTCACCTCACAGGAAAATTTGAGGCCCCGGAACAGGCAACGACTGGCTCTAGATCACAAGTGAGTTGGGGCATCAAATTCCCACGGGGAAGAAGTCGAGGCCAGGCACTAGAGGAGATGAGCGGGAGAAAAGGACCTACGTCTAGTTCTGCTTTTGCCCTAAACTCATTTGACCGATCCTGGGCCAGCCGCTGCCCTTCCGTGAACCTCAGCTTCCCCGCCAATGTCACCAGCACACCAGCACCCATCCTCAAATCCCGTTTAGTAGGAGAGGCCAGAGACTGAGGCTCCGAAAGCCCACCCCTCGCCTCAAAGCCACCGCCCATTCTTTGCTTATTATGATAATGACCGCGGGGTGGACCAACACGAAGAATGCAGGGGCGGGATTCGAATAGGCATTTGCCCTTATAGGGTTGCTAATCGCGAAAGGAGCGGGGCCTGAATAGGGCCAATTAACTGGAAGAAATGCTGGGTGACAGAAAGTGACACCAATGAGTGACGGATCTTGGGCGACGGGGTGGGGCTTAGCCTCGAGGAAGCGGCCAATGAGCTGGAGCTCTTTAATGTTAAAAGGCGTCTGAACGTGGAGGTCCTGAGGAGCCGGGGCAGGGCCACGGGGTTTCTCTGGGGGAGGGAGAAGAGAAGGAGCAGGGAGACAGCGGCCGCAGCCTGGCTTCTGTACTTACCGCGCCGGGAGGCGGCAGCCGGCGGCAACCCGGAAGCACTTCTCTCGGGCTGAGCGGAAGAGCCCGCCAGAACCTGAGAAGCACCAACGCATGCGCCTTTGCTCTCCTTTTGTTTCCCGCTCCCGCCCACCACACCGGATGTGACGTTACACACCTTAGTCACAGCGTTGAGGTTGGAAATTTGCCTACTCTATTGGTCCCTCCTGGAGCCTCCGCCCTTCGGCTTCTCCAGCCTGGTCCCTCTCCAACGGCCCATTTAACCCCGCCCCTTCGTCCCCAGCCAGGATCTGCCTGCCAACCCCTGCTGAAAAATAGCTGGCAGCAGCCTGCTTTAGTACTAGGACTGCTTGTCCTGCCGCGTCCCAGGAAAATTCGTCTGCTTCTACACCAGAATCGCTGGATGATGTTACGCCCCTCTGTCCGTTCTTTCTCACCTTCAGTTTCTTGTTTGGGCGCATACATTCATTTATGTATGACTTCAACAGAAATCGTTGAGTCCCTACTATATTCCAGGCTCTGCTAGAAGCTGGGGATAAATCTAGAACACGGTCCCTGCCCCCATAGACCTCACAGTCCAGTGGAGAAGCCAAACTCTGCAGACCCACAGTGGATTCACTGGTTTCTTAAGATTGCCTGTCCAGTTCTGCATTCGAGATCGTGTATGGGTTTGACTAGTCAGCCTCAGGGCACTGCTTTTGGGGAAGTCAGCAGGGCTAAATACCTTAGTGGTCAAATCTCCAGGCCTGGGCTAAATACCTTAGTGGTCAACTTCGTCATCTCTCCCAGTCCTTTGCTGATGCTTCTGTTGAAGCATCCCCTCTGTAACCTCTGACTCAGCCTCCCCTTCAGAGATCATGCCTTCTTGTAACCGGCAGTCCGAACCCAACCCCGTTAAGCTCCATCACTCACCAGCCTCGTCTAGGGCTAGCAATCATCCACGATTCCACTCCTGACCACACCAGATGTGTGAACTTTAACAGGTCCTTTTTCTCCCAACCTGGAATCAGTTTCCTCTTCAACCAGCTTCATAAACTGTGCAGCCTTCCTCCTATCCTGGACTGATGTGAGGATTTGATGAGATTACATGTTTAAGTGGTAGTGTACTGTGTATATTAACATATACGTTTCCAACGTATATGTAACATAACGTTTCCAACCAACTCTAGTCGTCAAAAGTTTTTCTTTTTTTTTTTTTAAAGATTTTATTTATTTATTTGACAGAGAGAGACACAGCGAGAGAGGGAACACAAGCAAGGGGAGTGAGAGTGGGAGAAGCAGGCTTCCCGCGGAGCAGGGAGCTCGATGCAGGACTCGATCCCAGGATCCTGGGATTATGACCTGAGCCGGAGGCAGATGCTTAACGACTGAGCCACCCAGGCACCCCAAGTTTTTCTTTTCTTTTTCAAATATTTTATTTTTATTTATTTGAGAGAGACAGAGATAACGAGAGAGAGCACAAGCAGGAAGGAGGGAGAGAAGCAGACTCCCCACTGATCAGGGAGCCCGATGCGGGACTCGATCCCAAGACCCTGGGATCATGATGGGAGCGGAAGGCAGGCACTTAAGCGACTGAGCCACCCAGGCACCCATAAAGTTTTTCATTAAAGAGTAAAATTTGCCTCTTGGAAATGTCCACCTTTTTCATTCATTCATTCAACAAATACCTACTGAGTGCCTTACTATATGCCTGTTACTAGCCTAAGTAGTGGGTATACAATAGTGAACAAAACAGACCACCCACTCCATGCAGCTTCCATCCTAATGGGAGAGATAAACAACAAGATAGATAAAATATATAGTTTTAAGACTGCAGTAAATACCTAGGAGAAAATATAAATCGGAGAATCGGGAAAGGGAGAGGTTTCGTTTTAGGTAGGGGGGCCAAGGAAGACCTTACTAGGAAGGTGACTTGAGTAAAGGTCTGAAGAAAAAGATTGGGGGGGCCCCACTGTTCTGATATTTAGGAAAGAGCATTTCAGAGAGGGAGCAAGTGCAAAGGGTCTAGAATGGCTGGAGCATCGAGTACTATGGTAAGAGCAGGAGAAGAGCACAGAGAGGTAGCAGGAGCCAGACAGCACAGCCTTGCAAGTCACAATAACGACTTTAGCTTTTACTCCATGTTGAGAATCCTGTGAAGGGTTTTGAGCAGAGGATCCACACAATCTGATTTACATTTTAACAGAGTTACTCTGGCTATTCTACGAAGATTAGATTCAGGAGGGAGAGTGGCAGAAGCAGGGAGACCAACTAGGAGCCTATTACAATAATCCAGAGGTGGGGGACGAGAAGTGGATGAATTTTGAATATATTTAGAGGGTAGGGACAAGAGAACGTGCTGACAGATTCGATGTGGAGTATCAGAGGAAGAAAGGACTGAACAACTGGAAGACCAGTGTTGCCATTTCTTGAGATGGGGAAGACAAGGGAGATGTTGTTTTGTGGGGGGAACTATCTGGAGCTCATTTTTGGATGTATGGAGTTTGAACTGCTCACTGGAGTACAGATGGTGAGAGGGCAGGAGGAGGAGGGGGCAGGAGGTCTGAGGTCAGGGGAGAGATCTAGACTAGAGATACCAATTTGGGAGTTATCAGTACATAGATGGCATTTAAAGCCATGAGACTAGATGAGATCATCAAAGAAGTGAGTGTAGATGGAAAATAGTTTCCTGCAACATTCAGCATTTAAGGAAACTAGGAGAAGCAGCAAACCAGACTGAGGAAGGCCAAAAATATATGTAGAAAAGCAGGCAAGCTGGGTGATATCCTGTAAGCCAAGTAAAGAAGGGGTATCAGGAAGGAGGCGGTGCTCTACTACAGCCTCGTTCTGTACAAATTGTTTCTATTGTTTCTATTTGTTTCCCCAGCCCACCAGGATTTCTTGAGCACACAGTCTTGAGTGGTTTCTATGTCGCCAGGACTCAGCCTGATTTCTCCCTTCTCCTGGATCCCTTATCTGTTCTTCTTGTGGCCTATGTACCCATGAGTCTCTCCTCCCTGCTTCTTTGCCTTATAGACTCCCTACCTCCAACACCCTTTGCCTCCCATGCTTCCTGACAGCTCTGACCTAATGGAAATTCCCCTGTAACCTAGAGTTTCTTACCAAGGTCTGCAGCCAGGTTCAACAAGCCATGGTGACTGGTTAGCTGGGGGGAGGGGAAAAGGGAATGGGAGAAGTGGAAATTTTGTGTGATCCCCTATTTTTGGCTTGGGCAACTCAGTCAATGATGGTGATATTTGTTTTACATCCATTATCCATCATTTAACCTTGCTGAGTGTTTAACTTCCTTTCATTTCAAGGATAATAAAACTAAGACTGAGAGGTTAAGAAATTTGCTTCATATTCCTTCATTTGTTCCACTATTGGTCAACATTTATTGAGTGCCAAGCAAATGCCAGACACCATGCTAGGCCCTAGGGACAGAAGCAGAAATAATCCCTGTCCTAGAGAAAAATATAGTCCAATGAGGACTAAAACAATTATAGACAATTATAGGAGAGGGTAGTAAATGTTAAAATCAATGTATGTGGAGAGTATTATGAGAGCACAAAGGAAGGAGAGATGAATGGGTTCTGGAGAAACTGAGTTTAGACTATTGTTCCAGGGAAGGAAACATTTGAGAGGCCTTGAGGGATGAGTAGGAGTTTACCTCATATACAAGTGGGAGAATGTGATGTACAAAAGGCATTATTACCTTCAAGGACATGGAGTTGAAAGGTGATGACGACGTGTTTGGAGAATAGTGAAAATCCTTTCAGGCAGATCTAGGTATCTGGGGATAGAGAAGGAGAGATGAGAAAGAAAGTTAGGGGGACTCAGATGGGAAGGGCTTTGGTGGTCCTGAGATGGAGTGGACAGGGTGGGAGTCAGGCATCCTGGGCCTTACCTTGGCCCTACTGCTGACTTGCTGGGACCCAGGCAGATTCCACTCATCTCCCAGCTTCTGTTTTCTCTAACATAATATCCCAAACATGTCTCCAGCTCTAATGTGAGTTCTTGGAAGATACTCCTCAGACCTGGCCCTTGTGTCCTGACATACTACTTGCTCCTTCATTGTGTATTACACAAGCCCCTGGGCTGAAAGCAAGAGGTAGCATGGGGGTTTCTCAACAGTGAGAAATAAGTCCAGAGCCCATAGGCTGGAGAGGGAAATCCATGGCTCTGGGCAGAGAATTCTCCAGGATCTGGGAAGGGCGAGAGCTGAGCGATGGGAATACAATACCTCCTTGCTACTGGTTCCTGAAATGCACTGAGTACATTCCTGCTCCAGAGCCTTCGGGCTTAAGGTTCCCTCTGCTTGGGACACATCCCTCTGGCCACGTAAACTGACTGTTGGTGTTTTTTCTTTTTTGTAAAGTCGGTGCCTGACTTAAGCTTGGATTACTGAGGCATCCAATCCATAGCTATCTCTAATAAACCAAGAGCCACGCCACCTCCCC